AGTACCAAGTATATCTCAAGACCCCATCCTCTGTTCGTTATGCCACTGCATGAATATCCAAGCAATTTAAATATGACGCGTGCATCTAGTCTAAAACTGGAGCAGTGCCCCGCTTGCAAAATTGTCTTATTTCCTTAAAAGGGTATTTTGTCTCACCAGATCTAAGCCATCTGGCTCGATTGTTGCTGGCATGTTGAAAGGTATCAATTGGCATAAATATAACTTATGGCATAAATATAACTCATGCATTGTAAATGTTTATTTAGACTCTTAATTCACAAAAAAATTACTTCATATATGTTGATATATATATACACATTTCAGCACAATTCACTCCCCATGCATGTAGCTATATTTTGGTTGTGATTTGATTTCTCTCGACTAGCTCCTCGAATCGGAAACGTGGAACGCGGAAAAGTCTCAAATCGTACAAATCATAGAGACTGTATGAAAGTAATGAAGCTATATCAATGATGTTCATTGTGTGACATTGTTTATTACAATAAAAAAACAAGAGTGTCGTACAATGAACATCATAATATTGCTCAGGGAAATTTAGCCTATAGGCTTTGATAATGCACAAAATATCATCTGGTCAACATAATTAGAGCTGTGGCCCGTGTGAAAAATATAACAAAACAGAAATTATGATCTATATTATACCATTTAAGTTTTGTTGATATTTAACTAGCATAAACCATCAAAGACGCCGTCTACAAATTCCGTGTTTTGTGAGATTGAGTTTAGCGCTATGTTTTAACCAAGTGCGTGCAGCCTTGCGCACAACTGGCCCAAGCCCAAGGGCAAGTTGCCAAGCTAACGTGTACAAACATTTAAGTTTGACCTTTCGGATATTTCGCTTATATATATTTCGCCATACTTCATCAGAAAACGAACATTAGAATTTATCTTGCTTGGACAACATATCAGCTGCTTGGGCAACAGGAAAATATTCACTAATTTTGATTTGGGCTCCTTTATTAGGAAATTACATTCCGGATATTAAATTGCAATTATGCATGGTCATTGCACCTTGAAGCCTGCCAGCTAGAGCGGCAAAATGAACAAATTTGAAATGGCGCCTATCAACTGTTTATGCGTATATGAGCGCGCGGGTAAAGATCTTTACCAGTAATTACGCGAAGACTAAACCAAATATTTGCTGGATATTAACATCTATATGGAGAAGTCAAGGCGTTTTACCCCTGCATATAAAGTATAAAGGTATGAGACTATACGAAACATTAGCTATTATATAAGGCAAGTCATGACTGGGCATACTTTATTAGGCGCGCTTGCAATTATTTCCCTCCCAGCATTGAAATCAGGCTTATCGATGAAATCATCAACAGAATTCGTATTACGGTTGGCTCGATTTAAAGTTTTTTTTCCTTGAGTGTGTTTGCCTGGCTAAACTGTAGCTCTCTATTGATCCATGCATATATCGAAATATGACACGCATTCGAAGTAAGATTTCATATAGATGATCATGCAATTGTATATAACAAGGCGTTCTCAATTGCATTTTATGTATATATGCTAACGCGAGTAAAATGGAGCCGGATATAAATGCGCACTGCAATATAATCCTTTAGATTACTTGCCATGGCCGGTGGAATCGAGTTGGGCCACGATCATCCAATCATTCCGAATAAACATGACATGAAAGGTTGCCAGACCTTTAAAATGGCTTGGCTGAGGTTAGAGTAGTTGTTAGCTTGGTGGTTACAATTTAATAGGATGCATTTACTCACATTGAAACAACAATTGTTTGTAAACTTTTCTGACATTTGTCAAAAAATATGTGGGTAGATGCTACCTTGAAATATATATATAATTATATGATATAAAAAGTTTTCGCAAGACAAAATGGATTGATGCTTTGATGCATGCCTTAATCATCTGTCTGGGGAAATCTTGATTAGTTAATTTTATTGTAAGCAGGAGGCACAAATTGTGTCACAAGTAGATGTCTCGAAGATGTTAAGGATCGGGTGTTTCTTAAAATGGTGAGTATAAACTCCCCTGTGCATGCATTTGGCATTGTCGTTTCTATATGGGCGGCAGCATTGCTATAAGCTTTGCAGAAAAAAATATTTGCACTCTTTGTGATTTAAAAACTCGGTTTCTATATGGGCCGTGTGCTATTGCTATATGCTTTAGTAAAAATAATGTGCACTTTTGTCTTGCTGCCGGGGTTGAGTATTAAGTTGCTTTGCAGGACGGATTTTCGGACCTTTAGGATTGCGGATTGCCGCGGTCGTTTGAAATGAAGATTTCGAAAATTATCCCACTAATTTATGCGTTCTATGTCTTTAGGTCACTATTGTTAGGCTCATGCAGTTAGCTTAGGCATTTTTACACAGTTAACTATGTAGATGGTCGAATATATGGGGGGAATGAATATAGTGACCACCAATAATTTAGTTAGATCACAAGTATTAATTAGCGACTTGTTATACTGGTTAAAAATCATAACACATGCATATGTGATCGTATGGTCACAAAATATGTAACTAATATGAAAAAAATATGGCGGCAGAAATAGCGACATTGCAGCTTTAGCTTTGCGAAGAAAATATAGCGATGGTGCATGCAATCGACAAAATAGATTATTGTCAATATTTAAAATATTCTTAAGGTAATGATGCCCTTACACGGGACGAAAATTTAGATTTGCACAAAATTTGCACCAGATGCAAATTTGGTGCAAATTTCGTATTTTGAATTTGCAACCATTGCGTATTCATCTTTGCAACCGAATAAATTTGCAACACGTTTGCCACAAATTTGCCAGCGTGGCAAATTTATCCCAAAATTTGCAAGACATTTGCGTATAGGTGCCAATTTTGAGCAAATTCATCAGGCTCTCTAGTAAATTCGTAAGTTCGTTAAAATCGGTTTTTATGCTTTAGCGTACAAAAATAAGTATGGAAAACCTCAAAGAAATTGTAAACAGGGCTTAAAATAAAAATTTCATGTGTTACTAGCATATATATTTCCAACAAATTGGCAACAAATTGGCACACAAATTTGCATATAAATATTACTGTAGCAAATATAATACCAAATCCGTGTCAAATTTGCTGTATAGAGCAAATCTATTGCAATTTTGTTGAATTAAATTTTCGAACGATTCCTAAATTAAATTTCAATTTTCAAATCACAATTACTATTATAAACTATATCTATACTTATTATAACCATCTAAACGAAGACCTTATATTAATTTGGTTGAAACCTATACGCGGCTTCATTTTTAGCGTTTTTCTAGTGCGTTAAAACCTTTTTTATAGTTGTCGATTAATTTAAATTAGATTGTAAACCTCTGGGTATCGGTGGCGTGAGTATTAGAGCGCAAGTGTGCGGGGGCGGATTAGCGTTATGAGTGTCACCGGGCGATAGGGATAAAAGGAACCCCCTGATGACATCATTGAAGGAAGACAATCTACTTTACTTGATAAGTTTGAGCATATTAAATACTGGTATTATCGATACATATCGATACAGTCGCGATATAAATTTATATAGCGATATAGATTTATATAAAGAGCGCGAAATATTGATAAAAGATCAGAGTTTGCGAAATATCACATTAGAAACCGAAAAATTTACTTTTCGTTATATAAAAAGCTTAACTGCTCGGAATGAATCAGAATACCACTTTAAAGTCATTAGGTATGTCATAAAGAAACAGATTTTTGACGTTTTAAAGTAACATTATTTTTCGAGCCGAAGCGAGGCGGCAGACTATATATGCTTAGCTTGACATTACACGAAGTTCCTGTTATTTATTATTTTTTATTATTATCAAAATATTTTATGAGGGTGCCACAATCACCCATAGGTGCTTTTCATGTAGGCCCTCAATTTAAAATACAATCAATAACTTAGCTAAAAATAAATTCTACATAAAAACAAGGAACGAACATTAAAAAGGTAACTACCTGTCCGTGTCCGAGTTATATAAATTAAAGTTGAAAAAACTCAATCTATCGAATTATTTAATTTTTCGATATGTGTCACAAACCGGGGGTGAGCCGCGGGGATCGGCTTCGCCTCGTGAAATATCAGCGGTAAAAATGCGGGACGCAAGGTGCGGCGAACGAAAAGTTTACAACCGGCTAGCTAAGGACATGGACGAATTCCGCTTTTATCCGGTATCAACGTATGAGATTGTGAACTCGTTTTCACCAAATAAAGCACCTAGCATAGACAAGGTATCGTTTAGAGTGATTAAAGATGCTTTACCTGTTATATTACCAACATTAAAAGAGATATAGATCGCTAATTGTTCTTGTTAAAGTCACACCACTTTTAAAAGAAGGAGACTTTGAAATATATACTAAATGATAACCGGCCTCTGTCACGCTCCCAGCAGCTTCGCTAAATGCTCCATGTGGTCGCGCAAAATCAATTTCCTGAGTATTTAACTAGGGAAAAAACGCCTTATATTACCGTTCATCAAAGCAGTAAGACAAGGAGTCATTCGACAGAAATCTATTTTTGACAGATGCGATCTTGGATGCTATATGGATGGAAAGGAATGGACTACAGTCGCTTGATAAGATTTATCAAAAGCGTTTGAAAGCGTTAATCATCTGAACTTCTTAACAAACTTCGCTCAATGGGTGCTTCTACCGCACAATAGCTTGGTTTAAGAGTTATTTGTCTAAAAGGAAACAGTCGGTCAAATTGGTCAAAATTTGTCAGATATATACTTGCTCGGTTGAATATGGTGTGTCTCAGGCCTCCATGCTTAGTCCATTATTGTTATTTAACATCTGTATAAATCATTTACCGACTGTTCATGACAAGTGCACGTGCCCTTTGGAATCTTCTGCGGACTATTCAAAAGTCTACTTGTCGTTCTTTATTATAAATAAGTCTACCACAGGCTCAACTTAGGAATGATTTGCAGAAAATTGCAGTGTGGTGCATGCAACGTGGTGCATGTTTTTCCAATAGTCTGCTTATTAATCCAAAAAAAAAGCTTTGGATTACCACAAATGTTGAAGGGAATACAAGATTTCAGTGTGTCCTTTCTTGATAAACAACTACAACCACTGTCCGCTGCAAACGATTTGGGATGGAATTGGATGGGTGTTTAGTATCGAAATGTATGAAATCTCTGTGTCAAATTAACCGAATTAAACATATCCTAGATGACCATACCCTTGTGACAATAATAAACTAACGCTTTAGTATCCAGCAGATTACGTACATTACTCTTCTTCTGTTTAGGCGAATACACGAAACAAGAATGTCGCCAAACTGCAACGTGTACACAACTTTCCTGCAAGAATAGTGACTGCGAAAGGCAAATATGACCATTTAACACCAGTGTTACGTCAAGTAAATTGGCTTCCCGTCAGTTACGTTTCAAAGATGCAGTGATGACTTTCACGTGCTTAAAAGGACTGGCTCCTTCATACCTATTAAGCAGATTTTCATATCGATCAGAGGCACATAATCGTGGCACAATTAAGGGGAAAATATTTTAATATCTAATGTTATTTCCTCATGACTTGTTCTAAATTAATAAAACTATTCTTTATGCAAACTAAGTTTAGAAATTCTCGGGATTTTGGCAAGTTTTACTGTGCAATTTTGTTAGATTTATATATTTTATTAGGTTTTTGGACTATATGATCTCGGAAAGTAAACAGTTAACAGTTATATTATTACGGGTCTAGATCCTGGAAACAGGTTGCGGTTGTAAGTGACAGCGTCCGCTATGATCTCGCACCTTTGTTTCTGACTATTGGAAGTAAACCTAGAGCTCCTTACATCCTGTTTACCCATGCTTTTTAAAGACCCGAGTTATTTCCTTTGAAAGAATAAGCTATTCAAAAAAACTTCGCATCGACGATATCCTTCAAACGCAATCAGTTTAAAAATACCAAAATCGTTCCTTAGCACTATAATTATGTAATAAAGTACATGCTGCTTTCAAACGAGGATTTTTATCATTTTTAACTAAAATCTTCGAGCAGAACCAGTGCAGTCGTTCAAAAACGTCAGTAAAAGCCGAAACCTATACATAGGGTTACGCAGGCCTGGTTTTCGGCGCCTAGCAGTAAACAGAGCAGCCTCTCTATACCCTACTACAAAGCTTTTTGGTTTAAAAACAAAACAGCTGAAAAATAAAGTTTACTCAACTACGTTAAAATTACTCCACCCATTGGACTTTCCTTACCCGTTTCTTCATCTGAAGTTTGACCACGACCCTTAATTAATCGAGGCAGTATCAAGGCTGATGATTTGTATGATTTCTAAAGGGCGTCAGAATCAAAGATCAGGAAAAGTAATACAACGTTAATCACGTTTAAATAGTTTAAAATGCATTAAATAAAACGCTATATGAACAAATGTACCTAAACATACAAGGCCTTTGATTATATTTTTAAATAAAACGTTGAATAACTTTGGATTCAACGTCTTAAACCTAATGTTGACAAAACACCCTGGATCCAGTTTACGGGTAGCGTTTCGAGACTTCTCTAGAAAAGCATCAACTAGAATTTTATTCACTTTCAAAAAGTGAGAGCCTTTCGAAAAGGGGAAAATCTCTAAATGAATCCGTTTAAAAACTGAAAAATTAATCGAATGGGAACATATTGTTATTATCATTACTGATTTCTTTAAACATCAAAATACGAGAATAGCAGGACTAAGTTGGCAGGCTGGCCTAACCACTGAAAAACGTTCAACCAATATGTACCATAAACCGGAACCAGGATATATTAAACTTTAAAACTTAGAATATAATTAAGTAACAAAAGTCCTAGCCCCTAACCAAAAACCCGGTTTTCGGTGGCTGACAAAACAACTGCTTAGAAGCAACGCGGGCAATACGGTCTCTTGCTAGTATAAGGTGGTATTGTATACCAAGAAAGCAAATTCGGATAGCATATATAGTATAAACAGAGTGCTTAAATTACCTAATTGATAATATCTTTGTTCCAGTGAGAACTAAATTTAAGTCTACATTTAGTAAATCAATTTTTTTATCGTGCGTTTGGAGAAATATTGCGTGAATATAATTTTGCAGATCAGGGACCAGGGGTCGGTTGTATAAAAATGTAGTAAACTCTTAATCATAGTTAGTAACAGAATTGACCAATCAGAGTCATGTATTTCTGAGTTAACTACGATTTAACTATGCAAAATGTAGTTAAGAGCTTTATACAACCGGCTCCAGATGTATAAAACTCTTTAAGTACATTTTGCATAGTTAAATGAGCAATACACGACTCTGATTGGCCAATTCTGTCGTTAACTACAGTACATGCAGTTATACAACCGGCCCCAGAGGATTGCAAAATTAAATTTTTCACGCGGTATTTCCACAAACGTACGATAAAATACTGTTTTCAACATGCAAGCTTTCAAGGAACCTATAAATTAATATTGTTCAGTATCCATTAGGGCTTACACGAATTAATAACGCGATAATACAAATAGCGGTTATAATCTAGGGCATATGGTTATATAGCGTGCATGCATGGATGCATTCATGTATTAAACCACTTAACGCCGTTAATTATGTGTTACTTTAACCCTGATCTGCCCCCATTTCTGGGTATTAAATACGTCACAGTTCTGTCAGCACGGTATTACAAACTTTAAAGCACTACGAAGAACCATGATCAAGGGCATTGATTTGAATGTGCTATAGTCAGACTTAAACTAGTTAGCCTCCAAATTCCATCTGAATCACAGAAGAATTCGCCTTTCCAATGGCATAACAAACAAGACGGTTTCGTCATCAACTTTATCATAACCGGGTATTAAATTTCGCGCTATGCGTTGAACGGGTATAAAGGACGCCGGACCAAAACTCTCGAACAAGTTTGAGCACCAAATCTCGGGCGTAACTCCATCATTACCATAATGAAATCGTTCAGGGTGCCGTTGAAACCAGCGAACGTGCGCAAAACAAAACGAATGTACCTTATCCCGATACGAAATCGACTGGCGTACGAAACAATCGATAATGCCCGGTCTTTCCTCTACACCTTCCATATCCACACCTCCATGGAATCGTCCTGCCCACCTTGCTAAAATGTAAGCAAAACGACTTAGACGGGAAAACTCTGACCCGTATCGTTCCCCTGAAAATTCGATCGACGCGTATTTGTCGTAGAGGTAAGGAATGTTGTCGACTGGTATGTCAGGAAGAAATATTTTGTAAACAGCACTCAGGTACTCGTGCTCATCACAATCTAACTGTTCAATAACGTGAGGTAAACCAATGGAGTAACCATCCAGAGTAAACCATAACTCATCACGAATGTCAAGCCTACCATCACACAAATGAAGAATATCAATTGCAAGCTTGCTATCAACTACTTCGCTACAAGATTGATGGCCTTCGCGCTGTTGTAGTTTTCAGTCAAATCGCTAAAATGCTGCACACATTCTTTTGGGAATTCAAGTTCTCTCAAGTTCTGATCTCTCAAAAACTTTCTCATAATTTGCAATTCAATTGACTTATTATTGTTCGAATAGTTACCCAGTATGCCATTGTACCGTTCAAAGCTGAACAACCAAAAACTATACACTGGTCCATAGTCAAGAATACAATCGGCCAAATGTGTATGCATATGCATATTCGGTGTAATGCGTTGTGTTCCATATAACTTTTCGACATCACGACAGAACTTTACAAGCAGAGAATGCGCAAGACCCACGTCATGTATTTTAATCATTGGCCGTGACAGAATTTTACAAGCTTTAACAAAATTCAACCAGCATTTGTAATGTTTATACCACGTAGATGACCTAACAATGCAAACGGAGAGAAGACAGTTACCCAGGTTTTCCACTGTTCTGCCGTAAATCCAGAAAACGACTTGGCTATTTTGAACGGAAGTCGACCCATGTTTGAAGGTGTATTACATATGTCTACTTTCTGTTGAATAAGTTCCAAATCTGCACGTGTCAAAAGAGAAAGTTCCAACCACAATTCCATCATGCGTTTCGCAGTTCCCAGAAATAAATTATGCATCGGATCAACAATAGTAAACCTAATGCAGTCGAAGTATGGTAGTCGGAGAAGTTCGGAATATCTAGCGCCATATAGAGACTCCTTCGCATTACGCAATTCCTGCGTCAACTGCGCTAAAATCTCCTCAACATGCCTCCTATGGTCAACAATATTTCTCCCACTACTCGAATTGAATCCGGAATAATCAGTTGCATCACCGAATCCACCAGTAACGAACTCTTTGGTGCACTTATTGCAACCACGTTTAGAGTTGTGAGCAGTGAACCCGCAAACCTTCTTACTGGCTGGCATATCACAGGCTACGCACAACAAAGCAGCTCGAAAGCGTTCTGGTAAAATAAGTGAGCCAGAATGTCGTAGGGTCACGCCTTCCTCCCAAAGAACAACAAGCTCATCAACGAGTGGTTTAAGGTATGAGTTAATGTTATTCTTGGGCTCACTAGGTCCGGGAATGATTCCGACGAGAAAAATATTTTGTCGTTTAAAGCGCTCACTGCGCGGAAGGTTCATCACAACAAGGTACAAAACTCCGACAGAATATGGTGTGTGATCATATGGTTGCATCCAATCAACATTAGCATAAAGCTATAATTACGAGGAGATGCCAGAAAGGATGATCCATTGAACATCTGAAAATCTCTCCAGACTCGTCCTTCAAATACGTCACACATAACTTGATGAGCAGTTCGAATATCACGATTTCTCCACAACTCACATCGCTGGGTAAAACCAGCTCGCCTAACAAACTGTTGCAATGTTGCAATAACACTCTGGTAACAATATATTTTATGAGGATATAATCGCTTACCACCATCTTTAAGAGTTACCTCTTTCAACAGAGTTGAGCTGCATGGTTGACGCATGCGCAATTGTCTATAATTTGGAAAACGAACAAAGGAACAGGTTTTGGACACCTTGCGAGTACCAACTGTTCGGTAGCAATCTTCGAATTCATACAAGGAAGAACATTTTGGACAAATAACGTACTTAGTAAACTTGTCACCTACCAGGCCTACTTCTTTTCTAAAAAGGTACAGCGATCCAGGAAAAGCCAAGGAGAATGTGGCAAGCCAATTGTTGGAAAGAGATGCTGCTTGAAAGAATCGTTTCAACGACAAAAGCAAAAACTCCATTGCGTTGTCCGGTATGGGAAAGTAGGTCCAAAAAAACGCAAGTAAAATAACTAGACAATTGAGCAACGTGCGGTTGGAAGGAGAATCTGACGTATTGACACTAACGGATGGAATTTTAGTGTCTTCGTCGATTTCATTTTCTGAAATATCATCCCAGATCTCACGCTCAAGCAGTTCTTCGCGGAACAATTCATCAGCCAAGTCAGGTTCAGTATAATTGCTATCGCAATGATTTGATGGAAGAGGGAAACATGGACTGACCTGGTCGATCTCAATAAAGTTGTCTTCATCATCACAACTGCCTTCTAAAATTGGATCTCTTTGCCACGAGTTTGAATTTTGGTCAAAATAAACTTCCCTATTTCGCCTGAAAGTTCTTGCAGGTAAATAGGTCTCGCAATGTGGACACAAGGTCATATAGTTGTTGTATTCAGCCATGATTGTTTTTAGATTTTTATAAGCGATGTTGATATAAAAACAAGAGTTTAAAAAAACACAAAGGGCTAAACGGGGGTAGTAGATGCTATTCAGGGACACTATAAGTGTCCAGGTGACCTAAACCAACCAATTAGAAGCCTCATATTTATTTCGCGCTAAATCTAGAATTCGAGAGGGAAACTCGAAGGAAAAATTTTCAAGTTGTTTTGACAAGCCAGTTTTTATACACTTAACATTTAATTTTTTAACGAAAGCTACCAGTTTTTTAAAAAATGGCAATCAATGGTCAGAATGAGGAACTCATGCGACGTATTTTGGCAAGTCAAGGGACAATCATTGAACAAAATAAAAAAATATTACATCAACAAGAGCAGAATATAGCTAAAGAGCGCGGGGCACAGCTTGCTACCCGAGAGAAAATCCCCCTTATTTTAAAGGTAAATGCTTACTCATTCGAATTAAAGTAATTTAATCAATCATTTCTATATGGGGAAGAAAAACTGTGTATGTATTACGATCCACTAAGCCTTTTTCAACAGAATACAGTTTTTGCAAATGCTTAAATGTATACAACAATGGTGTCCCAAAGCAAACAATGCAATGTAGTACAGTATGATAACTTGAATTTGTAAGAAGAGGAGGGATTGGAAGGAAGGACTACAGTATCAACATATAATAATAATGGTGCATATAACCAAATCATTAATCAATGCAACAATGAAATCAAACATGAGCATGTCATGCAGGATATGGTTTGCTGCTGACCTTGAGTATTGGGTATAGTGATATAAAGCAAATTTCCCTTTTCAGATTTTCATTTTATTCTGTTTATAGTTTGTCTAGTCCATTTCCTATGATTTTCCCTTTAAAAGGGTGAAAATTAATTGCCCAGGGTCAGGGATGACAGTAGAAATTGTCAACAGCATGATAATTTAAATTTGAATATTCTGGTGATTAAACAGGGGTAGAACTCCATACATGCCACTGGAATATTGCATGCTTGTAAATTTTAATGATGATGAAAACTTACAGTAATTTCAGTGATTAATTAATACTTGTCACTTGGATTCCAATCCAAACTCCCTATAAAATAATGAAAGATTTTAGACAATATTAATATTATGTATGGTCAGATATATATAAATAATACAAGACAGTTTTAGTAAAGAAGTGTGGTAGCTAATATTTTATTATATTAACTTTGGTGGGCATTGCGGTGTACTTTGCGGGCTAAAATGATAAATTTGCCAGGCTAAAATCTATTTTAGCCCACCTTGATCTTAGCCAATCAGAAGAACGACTGTAGTGTTTATCCATTGTAGTGTTTCTATACAAAAATCGCCCTTTAAAAAGTTAATATAATAGTGATACAGTTGATGTTCTTGGGCATAAATGTGTTTTTGGCCCTCCTCAGAATACTGTTTAACCCTCGCTACGCTCGGGCTAAAATAAGTTCAGAGTCGGGCCAAAAACACATTTATGCCAGCAAACATCAACTCTATTGTTATATTGCATGCTATTATAATCTTCATGATGATGAATACTTACATCAATTTCATTGATTTATAATCATTTTCATTTGGATTTCAAGCAGGGGCGGATCTAGGATTTTTTTTACGTTAGTCAAAATTTTCGTAGGCCAATTTTCGTCGCCAATCGTCCTCCCCCCACCAGATTTATGAAATTTGTGAGGCTTTCCAAGCTTATAATGCCAGGTTATAGTCTGCTAAATTCCTAGGGCACAGCTATTGAATGCCACAAAACATTGTGTAGGCACTGAAATGGAAGGTTTAAAAAGGGACGTTTTGTGGGTATAAAATGCATGTTTTTATAGCAATAGTCAAATCTCAATAATGGTAGAAATTTACCCCTTCGAACAGACCTCTCAAGAAATTTTCAGCTCAAAATGTTATTGTCTAGTGAAATGTAAGAACACAGGTTTATTACATTATCATTGAATTTGGTCAAAGCGAAATTGCTTTATATTTATATATTATAATGATTTCGCAAATATCCATAGCTTTCTAAATCTTTCGAACTGCAAAGTACAGATTATTACACTAGCTCAAAATCTATACAATGCCAGCAAGAAGAATCTGGGTAATGCGAATAATCAATACAACAAATGAGAATATGAATAGGCTCGAAATTCTAAATCGATTTGACGGGCGACGGGCGAATGCAAATATATGCTAATAACAGTAGCCTCAAAGCCTAGGTTAAATATATAAGCTAACAATAACATAGTTAAATTATCGGACCATTGTTTATATGAACTTATAGTAATATCGGAGTATAGTTTACATAAACATCAACATTGGATAATTTACCTTATAACAGTACACTTCTCAATTCGTCGAACACATGCGAGTATATTTAATACGAAAACATCAATCTCTCGACGACACGTTATTTAATAGTGTCATGAATATAGCGCCCGCATTAAAACTGCTCTATACCGGTTTTTCTTTTGAATTCCCCTACAAAGAACTTACATTCGACTGCAAAACACGGGCTCTGATCGGTCATGATCGGTGATATTACTCACGGTCAAATATAAATGCATAATATAATTACATAAGAAAGGCTATCTTTAAAATAGGGAATGGGGAATGCGGGAATGGGGGAATGGGGGAATGCGGGAATGGGGGAATGCGGGAATGCGGGAATGGGGGAATGCGGGAATGGGGGAATACGGGAATGCGGGAATGGGGGAATGCGGGAATGCGGGAATGGGGGAATGCGGGAATGGGGGAATAAGGGAATGAGGGAATGGGGGAATAAGGGAATGGGGGAATAAGGGAATGGGGGAATAAGGGAATGGGGGAATAAGGGAATGGGGGAATAAGGGAATGGGGGAATAAGGGAATGGGGGAATAAGGGAATGGGGGATTAGGGAATGGGGGAATAAGGGAATGGGGGAATGAGGGAATGGGGGAATGAGGGAATGGGGGAATAAGGGAATGGGGGGATAAGGGAATGGGGTAATAAGGGAATGGGGGAATAAGGGAATAAGGGAATGGGGGAATAATGGAATGCGGGAATTGGGGAATAAGAGAATGCGGGAATAAGGGAATGCGGGAATGCGGGAATAAGGGAATGGGGGAATAAGAGAATGGGGGAATAAGGGAATGGGGGGATTAGGGAATGGGAGAATAAGGGAATGGGGGAATAAGAGAATGGGGGAATAAGGGAATGGGGGGATTAGGGAATGGGAGAATAAGGGAATGGGGGAATAAGAGAATGCAGGAATGGGGGAATGCAAGAATGGGGGAATAAGGGAATGCAGGAATGGGGGAATAAGGGAACGCAGGAATGGGGCAATAAGGGAATGGGGTAACCGGTGAACAAGTGAGCAGGGGAACTGGGGAATGGGGGAACAGAGGGATGGGGGAACCAGGGAAGGAATAAAGGTGGAACTATGGACTCATTGAGCAGCTAAACTAATAGTAACAGTCTTGAGCCTGAAAGGAACAATTGTTAGTATATATTAGGCATGTATACAGTATTATGGCTCTCTGTATCTAGGATGCTACTTACAAATATATTTATTGTTATTATTAAATGCCAACCTGGCAAATGTTAATTGTTATTGTGAAACTCAGGCACTCTTGTATTAGATTTTACCAAAGTGAAAAATCAAAATATACTTGCCTTTCAGTAAAAATTAAAACTATAAATAAGATAATGGTATTGTTGTGTGCTAGTGTGTTCATTTAGTTGGCAAGAAACTGTTCTGTGTATATAATTTTCATGCATGTTTGCATTTATGCTTTCAACAAAATCTATAAATGAACCCAATGACCCTTAACTAAGGACCGTCATCCTTTATTAGCAGGTTGGGGGCTGAAGAGAAAAGGGTAGGGTAACTGCATGAAAATGATGAAGTGTTATTAATTAACAATATATAAATCCTTTCATCATTAAAATCTGAAACCAGGCATGAACTAGCTGTACAATCCTAAATCATTATACATCAAGTGACTGACATCAGCAATATATAGTCAACATATTGGCTCTTTCCCAATCAGCATACAAAGCTTAAAATCTTATAAAATCTTAATGAGTCTCAGTCAGTCCTTGGTAGGAAGTCTCAGGCCTATAGCTAGGTATATGAAAACATTATATCAAAGATATTTTTCCCTATATATATACTATTTAACTCTTTAAGCTTTTTCAAAATTAGTAGTATATTTAGAGTGTTTTACTCCACTGATTTTAGACAACAAACTTTTTGGAAAACAAATAATTATGATGAATATATTTTGTTGAAAGAAACATTTTTGGTTACAGTGAAACAACAATGTGCATTTTGTGAATAACTTGGTAATTATGTAATAAGCAATGTTTGCACTTTATAATTGGCATGCAAACATTGCAATACTAAATACTATGTATGTATATTACCTTTTTATGACATTGATTGGAATACATAAATACTTCCTGTACTACAATAAATATCTAAATGCCCTACTTGATTATATACTTGATTATATATATTTTCTGATATAATGTTTTCATATAACTAGCTATAGGCCTGAGACTTCCTACTAAGGAATGACTGAGATTCATTAAAGATTTTATAAGATTTTAAGCTTATTGTATGCTGATTAAGAAAGAGTCAGTCACTTGATGCATAATGATTTAGGATTGTACAGCTAGTTGATAAATGATTCATGCCTGGTTTCAGATTTTAATGATGAAAGGATTTATATTGTTAATAACACTTCATTTTCATGCAGTTACCCTATACTATACCTTTTCTCTTAAGCCCCAAACCCGCTAATAAAGGATGACTGTCCTTAATTAGTTAAGGGTCAGTGGGTTCATTCATAAATTTTGTTGAAAGCAAATGCAAACATGCATGAAAATTATATACACAGAACAGTTTCTTGAGCAATGTTATTCCCATATAACATATGTTCTAGCTGTTGCATTTGTCATTATATTTTGAATAGATATCACTATTGAAATTTTGTATGCCAACTAAATGAACACACTAGCACACAACAATACAATTATCTTATTTATAGTTTTAATTTTTACTGAAAGGCAAGTATATTTTGATTTTTCACTTTGGTAAAATCTAATACAAGAGTGCCTGAGTTTCAAAATAACAATTAACACTAGTACTTGCCAGGTTGGCATTAATAACAATAAATATATTTGTAGAGAGCCATAAAACTGTATACACGCCTAATATATACTAAAAATTGTTCCTTTCAGGCTCAAGACTGTTACTATTAGTTTAACCTTTACCCTGTTCCCTGGTTCCCCCCATCCCTCTGTTCCCCCATTCCCAGGTTCCCCCGCTCACTCGTTCACCGGTTTCACTGTTCGCCCCATTCCCTTATTCCCCCATTCCTGTGTTCCCTCATTCCTCCATTCCCTTATTCCCGCATTCCCTTATTCCCGCATTCCCTTATTCCCGCATTCTCTTATTCCCCAATTCCCGCATTCCATTATTCCCCCATTCCTGCATCCCTTTTTCCCCCATTCCCTTATCCCCCCATTCCCTAATCCCCCCATTCCCTTATTCTCTTATTCCCTCATTCCCTTATTCCCCCATTCCCTTATTCTCTTATTCCCCCATTCCCTAATCCCCCCATTCCCTTATTCCCCCATTCCCTTATCCCCGCATTCCCTTATTCCCCCATTCCCTTATTCCCCCATTCCCTTATTCCCCCATTCCCTTATTCCCCCATTCCCTTATTCCCCCATTCCCTTATACCCCCATTCCCTTATCCCTCCATTCCCTTATTCCCCCATTCCCGCATTCCCCCATTCCCGCATTCCCCCATTCCCCCATTCCCGCATTCCCCCATTCCCGCATTCCCCCATTCCCGCATTCCCGCATTCCCCCATTCCCCCATTCCCGCATTCCCGCATTCCCCCATTCCCGCATTCCCCATTCCCTATTTTAAAGATAGCCACATAAGAAATGCCTGCGGAGGAGGCTAGTCTGACTCTGATCGCTTGATCGGTCGTGATCGGTCAGGAATTAAACAGCCAATAAGAAATGAAGATCAGACCAACCTCCAAAACGATCACACTTTGTGTCGCCATGGAAACTATCGATCTGACCAATCAGATTGATGAAAAACGCCCATAACCAACCTCTAAAACGATCAGACCACACCTCCAAAACGATCACCATTTTTGTCTCCTTGGAAACCACCGAATGGGCCAATCAGATTGACCAGAAACGATCAGGCCAAGCCTCCAGAACGATCACGATTGTGCAGTTTGAAATTTGAATTCAGAGCGGGGATATCAAGAGAGATCAGTGTTAATTTAATTCATTCGGCCAGAAAATTAATTATGCCGCTGCAAATTTACAACTGGACTGCGTTCGG